GCTGCTCCTGGGTGCTGAATGGAATGACCTTGGGGAGTTCCCTTCTTTCTCTGAAATCTATTATTTCAAGGGGACTAGAAAGAGACCATTAAGGCCGTTAGCCAGCTATTGATCCCTCTATTCATTAGAAAAGTGTTTATTGTAACACATTATGCAACAAGACTGAGCTAGGTCCTTCAAAGAATACTGAGATGTTTCGAACATAAAAACCCATGTTATTTCTTGGACTGTTCTAGCCCAACTTGATCCACCTATTACTTGGGCTCTGAAAAGAAAAGACAGCCCAGGACACGGGTGATGGGGGCTTTTGTGGGGCAAGGCTGAGTAACTTCCTGTGTATTTGCTCTTTTTTATGTGTATTTGCTCTTTTTTATCAGAAGTCAAATGCCTATGGGCCCTGCCACCCTACTGCCAATAGCACTCTTCTCTCTGACCTTACATGGTAAAAGAGCAACATTCCTCTTTGAGAAGTTTTCCCAGGCTAGGCAAGCTGTGTGAACTATGGGTAGGGAAGCCATGTAATACATCATCAAAACTTATACATATAAAGAGCTATTAATAATTATGCCAGGGCAAAGGTCAAATTGGAGATTGTCCCCAGGACATCTGGTCACCCTAGCTACCGTCAGAATGAGACTCAATCTGGCAAAGCCAAATGGAGGAACTTCCCTTGAGGTTGAAAGGGTTGGTGTTCTGTGATGCTCCCCAGTTCCTGGTAGGGTTTGGGCTACCGGTTTGGGCTGGTCACATGATGAATTCTGTGGGAGACAGGCCAAATGGGTCCCTGCCCTGAGCTGACCCGGGTTCCTCCCCTTCCAGTCCGGCTCTCCAGGGACCGATCCACCCTGCAGGTGCTGGACCTGGCCACAAAGAACTGGGCCTCCGCCTGTTTCGACAACTTCACAGAAGCTCTGGCCAAGACAGCCTGTGGGCAGATGGGCTATGACAGGTACCCAGCCCAAGGCTCTGGAGGCTGTCACCTCACCCCATGACCTCTCTCCCTTTCTTTCTTCCTTCATCTTTCCCTTTTCCTCTCCTTCCTTCCTCCTTCCTCCCTCTTTCCTTAAAAATATAGGTACTGGAGTCAGACAGAGCTGCTTTTGAAGCACTTTCCCTTATGAGCAGCATGAAGTTAAAATCTTCTAAGCCTCAACATATTCAGGAGTTACTGGGGGAAGCAATACCAACCTCATAGGATGGTTAAGAGGCACCAGAGAGAGGATATCTGCCCCACCCATATCTCCCCCCCCCCCCCCCCCCCCCCACTGCCACCACACACACACACACACACACACACACACACACAGAGTTCAAGCTCCTTTGTAATCCTTTCCTTTTCCTTTACCCCTCAATCCTCACTCCTTCTTGGCTTGGCAAGTCGCTGTCCCTGCCCCAGAATACAAAAGTCTTATTTACTTATTCAAAGTCCCATTGGTTAAAATTTAGTTTAAATGAACCTAATTTCACTGGGCCTCTTCATCAGCAATCTCAGTTTTCTCAGCAAATTTCAAAAGCAGTTTTAAATCTTCAGTGTATGAAAAAGGATATAATTATAAGAAGGGTAATTAGCATTACGTATTTATATTCATTTGATCTTGGCAAAACCCAGAAAGGTAGTTATTATTCTATCTATTTTAGAAGTAGGTTCAAAGAAGGTAAGTAACTTGCTTGGATAGTAGCTGGGAGCGAGAGGGCTGGCATTTGTGCCCAAGACCCCCTAATTCCTGGGCATCAGAAGCATCTCTGTTTCTCGGTTGGGTAATTCTCTCTTCTCTGGAGGTTTCATTTATAAAAGGAGGGGAGGGGAGACAGTTGATCACTCAGAGCCTAACTGGAGAGGATAGAACCCATGAATTCAGTTGCAGAGGGGATAATCTCTTCCTGGCAAGCCCCCAACTTCAGGATCCTGAGAAACTGGACGCAGAGACTAGGTAGAAATGATAAACCTTAAGCAGACCTCATCTATCAGTCAATCACAGAACCCGCTTCCATCAATCCCTAGAGCAGCCCCAGGTCCTTTTTCAATAAGTGCTGCAGGCAGCCGTTACTGATCCATCAGACCTATTTGCCCCTTCTGCTGTCTGGTTATCAGGCTTCTCCTGCTCTCTGCCCTCCATGGGGTGCAACATCCAGTACCCGCTGAAGAGGATACCCTACCACCTTCATTTTCAAGGAGAGCTGGGAAGGCACGTCCTGTCCCTGCTGCTTCCCCTCCCCCAGCAGCCACCCCAGCCCAGCCTTCTGGCTGCAGCCCCCCCTCCTCCCTACTGCAGTCCAGCCAACTGCAGCGTCAGCTGTACCAGCATAGCAGGCTGCAGCTTGATTATGAAACCAGGGTGTCTCCAGGGGCTCTTAAGGTAAAAGGCTCCTGCAATTTCTGTCCTTCTGGAGCTCTTTAAGGCACCAAGCCATCTCTATCTTGAGCTCTACAAGATCAAAGCTGGTCAGAATTATTCATCAGGATGTAACTGGTGAACAGAGGCTAACCCTCCTGGGAATGTCCATTTCCACCATGATTCCTCCTTCTGGGTCTCAGATTTCCCTGGCTAGGAGGCCCTTATTGTCCCAGGACCACAAAACCCTAGATGGCTCAATGTGGGAAGGACTCTAGAGATCATCTGGTCCACCCATCATTTTATAGAGAGGAAAACTGAGGCTTAGAGAGACCCAGAGAGGGAATATGACCTACCAAGGGTACATAGCAAGCTAGTGTCAGAGCCAGGACAAGAACCTCCGTCCTGAGGGCTCTCAGCACAAAACCCCACAGCTCTAGACTTCAGTCTTCCAGGTGCCATGCCTGGGTCATCCAGGTAGTGCCAGATTCCTGGCTGGGAATGTGAGAACGTGCCAGTCAGCCAGTGCCTCAGGTTGACCCGAGCCTGCATACAGTTTATACTAGCTCTGTATAGCATGGCTGGATGGGGAAGGATAGGAGAGATGGGAAGGAGGCAGATTCAGTACAGGGATTAATCAGGGAACCCTTCCTGGAGGAGGGAAGACTTACACCCAAGGTTTGATAAAGACAAGCATGGATTAGAGGAGAGGAAGAGCGAGAGTGTCCAAATGAGAGAAATGTTTGTCTGGATGCACGTGAAGCCTGAACTTGGCCTGTCCAACCTCCAAAGGGACCATAAATGTACCCCACTACCAAATTTAGACCAGATGCCTTGTTTGGAGAACAACATATCCACATTCAGTTCCCTCCAAGGTGAGGGGAGAGCTAACCTGGTTCCTTTGCCTCCTCGTTCCCCTCGCTGTGAACCAGAAGAAATCGCTGGGACATTTGGAATAGGGACAGAGCTGGGAGTTATAAAAGGACATCCGTAACATTTCTCCAGGGCTCTGGGTTCAGGACCAGGCTTCCCTGCCTGAGAAAGCAAGTCCACATCAGCACTGTGGCCAGGGCTGAATCCTGGGATGCCAAGGGACCATCCCTTGTCATCTAGCAAAGCAGTCACCACCCTCACTGACCAAGGCCACCTCCACTCCCCTGCCACGCCGTACCCAGAATTCTCTGCTGCCCCCTCTCCTGGGAGTGGGGACTACTCCTACCCTCTCACATCTCTCCCTCCCTGTCTTTCCCTCCCAACATGAGCAGCAAACCCACCTTCAGAGCCGTGGAGATTGGCCCAGCCCAACACCTGGATGTTGTCAAAATCACAGAGAACATGCAGGAGCTTCAGGTGCGAAACTCAAGTGGGTAAGTGAGAGGACACCTCTGGCCCACAACGGCTCACATGTGGACGATGCCATCGGGGCTGCAACCAGCCCACCCTGAACAGACTTAGCAAGGGAAATTTAAGCCAGACAACAAAAAGAACTCCTGGCCAGGCAGACTGTCAGATACCAAAAGCTAGAGCATCACATTTCTGAGAGGTTTTCTGTATTGACTCTTTGTTTTAATACAAGGGGCAGCTGGACAAAGTGTGCTGCCCACAAGCTGGTGGCCTTTCATCAGTCAAATAAGAAAACCAAATTTGTTTCCTATGGCCTTATGTTCCCTATTAAGCTCAAGAGGCAAGGTTCCAAAGGCCACTTTGTCCTTCCTGCCTCTCATCCAGGCCAGGGTAAGCCCTCCCCACATTTCCAGCTCTCCAGAGGAGAAGCTGCATGGCCTCTGTCAATGTACCACTCCCGTGCCTACCGCCCCGAGTCAGAGCCCGGCATCTCCTACAGAAAGACTGTCACCCTGCAGCAGAGTGACTCAGAGACTATGCTGGCTTCTTAGCATTCAGGGATGCTGCTGAGGGCTGCTTATTCATCAAAGAGTAAATCTTGAAAAGGATAGGAATAGGAGCAGAATGATCATTTGCCTGGAATTTCATCGAAATCCCATTCCTCTTCCGTTTGGAGAGCCCGCAGTACAGCAGACACTGCCCCAGCCTCTGCTCTCTTCCATCTCAGGCTGCCAAGAGCCCGGGGTGGGCTGTGACTCAGGCAGGGCCCAGCACATAGTAGATGCTTATCAGTAGTGCTGTAGAATCCAATTGCATTAAATCGCACTGAACTGGGTGCAAGTACGGTGTCTATACAGCCCCACCATTCAGGTTCCATACTTCCCGGGTCCTGGGAGGGGACTTTAATCAATAGTGCTGGGAGACCTGAGTCCCTGCCTCCCAGCCAAGGGACAAGCAGAAACCATGGGACGCCTGTGTCTCCCTTCCAGCCCCTGTCTCTCAGGCTCCCTGGTTTCCCTGCAGTGCATTGGTGAGTACGCCCCATCTCTGAGAGTTTGGGTCCTGGGCCAGTGACAAACAGGGAAGAACTTCATTCTCATTCTTAAATCCCTCAGACTCCAGGTGTCACTCTGTTTTGTCCCAACCTTACTCCCTTGGCCCTGGGCTTGTAGGTAACGCTCCTTCAAGAGGTTGACAGTAAGAACTCCCTCTTACTGTCCACGCACAGTGCCACAACCTGGGTGGAGACCCAGGAGAGAGAGTAGGAAAACCGGAAAGGGCAGGACGGGGCTTCCACCCCCTCCCACCCCTGGCCAGGGCCCACATAACCTCCTTTGTCACAATCAGCTCATCTGTCCATGATCTGATTACCCACACCCCATTTAGCAAAGATTCGTCAAATGGTTAGAATGTATCAGCATTGCCAGGCCTCTGTCCTCAGGAGCTGATGGCTGAGCAAAGAGAGAGGTGCAAGGCCATGTGCAGGAAGTACCAAGCTGAGCAGTGGTCCCAGCTGACATGCTTCAGAGAGAGCTGCACCTGGGGTGGGGCCGGGGGAGGGTCAGGAGACCTGGGCACCAGATCCACTGGCTTCCAGTGTGACCTTGAGTAATTCACCTGACCTCTCTGAAGTTCATCTTCCCAAGAAGCCCTTTAGTCCGACTACCCAAGAGGATCCCGGGAGACACCCTAGCTCTGAGAGGAGATCAGAAGGCAAAACAAGCACTGTAGCCCTGCTCATCCCACCAGCCTCATGGGAGGACCGAGCAGAGCCTGACAGGATGGCCAGAAACTGGGCCGCCTGAGAGGAGAAAGGTCATCCTCGCTGCCTTTGCAGTTTAACAGTGTATATGCTTCCTTGTTGGATGCTAAGACTCTTAGCCATTATCATGCGACCCCCACGATACCTAGCGAGTGAGGGCTGACCCATGGTGGCTGGTCAATGAATGAATGAATGAATGTTCACATCACTCGGCGTGCTAAGCTGAACAGCCCTGGAGTCACAAAGAGGCTTAAGCCACAGACCCTCCCTTGAGGAGCCTTCTGTCTCATTGAGAAGACAACACCGAACCACGTCAACAAGAAAAGCTGGCCAACACCCAGGCAGGCTGTGGAAATGCCAAAAGAGGAAAATCCCCAGGGATTACGTGACCTGGAGGAGGTGCCCAGGCTAAACATCACAGAATGAACTGTAGGCTCCAGGAAGGGAGGGACCATGCCCATCTCTCTGTCTTGTCCACCACTCTCTTCCCAGCATCCTTGAGACACTGTAGGCACACAATTCAAATTTGCTGAATGATCGGTGATCTAGATAAACAGGAGAGGAGACAGCATCTCAGGGACAGGCCCCTCCTGGAGCAAAAACAGAAAGACTTTTTAGGGAGCTAGCAGCAGATCGATTTGGCTAGACAGAAACTTTATATAAGGACAGCAGAAGGCTGCCAGAAGGGGGAATTTAAACTCTTCCCTACAGACAAAGGGGGATGCTGAGGGGCTTTGGGTGGGGGAGCGAGGTGACATGTAGAAAACAGTGTTTGGAATTAGATGGTATTTGAAAAGCCCCTGCCAGGCATAGGCCCAAAAAGGGTGGTAGCCTTTCCCCCTTAGAACCACCACTGTGGCAGCGACTGCCAGAAGGATTGGAGAAGCTGAGAACAGGACGGGGAGGTGGAACTGGAGGTTTTTTTTAAGAGTTTGCGAGTCAGATGTGAGAGCCAGGAGAGTGGGATGTGAAAGAGGGAACAGGATGTCAAATTGGGAGACTGTCTCAGCAGGGGGAAGGGACTTGGAGAAAGGTGAGTTCAGGATGGGAAGATCCATTTCTGGAACTTTCTTCCCACTCTCCAATCCCAAAGCAGCCTGTGGGCGTCTGTTTACTGTTACTCAGTGGGCGGAGCTGGGGACACCCTTTTGGGCAGGACTTTCATAATTCTGCGTCCCTGTTTAGTTTGAAGGTCATGAACGCCGGCACAACGGACACGCCCATGTTCACAATATCAACTCCTAAACTCAAACAAAGCTGAAAAAAAAAAAAAAGGAGAGGGAGATGGGGGGAAAGCCCGTGGTCTGGGACACTCAATGTCTCCCTGTGAATAATTCAAAATTGGCGTGGTCCTCCCACCCCGACCCAGCCCCCGGTCCCAGTCCTAAGGGCCCTGCTCAGGATAGACTGGGGGCTCTAAGGGGAGGCAGTCCCCACTCGCAAGGGTCTGACTCCTGTTTTCTCCCTCCTTGCTACTGAGTCCAGCCTGCGGAGAGAGCCTGAAGGTCCCTCGGGTGGTGGGTGGGGAGATGGCCTCTGTGGATTCTTGGCCTTGGCAGGTCAGCATCCAGTATGACAAACAACACATCTGTGGAGGGAGCATCCTGGACACGCACTGGATCCTCACGGCAGCCCACTGCTTCCGGTAAGGCCCACACGAGGGCACCTCGGGGGTCAGAGCCACAGAGGGGCCTGAGTGCCTGGGTCCCCTGTCTCCCAACTTGTTTTCTGATGCCCTACCCCACCCCACCCCTCCCCCTAAAGACCATGCACCAGGGTGTGGCCACCCCAGTGAGACACTGGACATGATGTCCTTTGTGAGGCCTTGGGGGTCTGAGCAGAGCTGGTCACCAAGGCTGACCTCTTCCCTTCCAGGTGGGAAGCCACCAGGTACCCAGTGTCCTCACTCTACCCCCATATCATTCACTGCACAAAAGCTCTTCTCATCTGCCTGGAGTCCCGAGAACTCTCTCCCTTTTTGCCAGTCTTCCAGGAAGGGGTTCCAGGTCCAGAGTCACTGCCACTCCTTCATTATATTCAGAAACTTAAAAAAAAGAAAAAAAAAGAAAAAGAAAAAGGATAGATTCTCTTACAGGCCAGTAGAGACAGGACTGCCCATACCTCTGGGGAAAGACTAATCCAGGTCCTCTTCAACTTCATTCATTCATTCATTCATTCATTCAACACCTATGAGTACCTACTAGGTACTATGTACCCTCATGCATTAGACTCCATCACTGCCTTGGAGGAGCACACAGTGTAGGCCTGTGATTTTTAACCTTTTCGGAGAATCTGACAAAATTTATAAACCTTTCCCTGGAAAATCACTCCTGCACACTCAGCTGTGTCTGGTGTCGGGAGGAAGACAAGTGCAAGTACCACATGAGTAGCAGAGCCAGTAAAAAGCACTGGAGGAGAGAATGTCAGGACCCAGAGCTCAGGCACTAGGAACAGCCCCTTCCCCAGCCCTCCAGTTAGAAGTTTCTTTGGGCAGGTTTCACCAGGGAAAAGGATCAAATTCCCCTTTAGAATTTGACCTGTGGTAGGTGATTCCTCAGACTGCCCCTTCTCCACCACCCCTGCTCTCACCATCATTACCTCCCAAGGCAGGGGCAGCCAACACCCCACTCCCCAGGGCCCTGGGGACCCAGCCTCTGGCAAAGCCTCCTCATGCTTGGCTCAGACTTGAACTGCACTGTCTCTGTCCCCAGGAAGCATCTCGATGTGTCCAACTGGAAGGTGAGGGCCGGCTCAGACAAACTGGGCAACTTCCCATCCCTGCCTGTGGCCAAGATCTTCATCATCGAGCCCAACATCACATCCCCCAAAGAGCAGGACATGGCCCTCATGAAGCTGCAGCTCCCGCTCACGTTCTCCGGTGAGAGCTGGCACCTGGGAACAGAACTCCAACTCTGCCACTAGTTCATTCACTAAGCGGCCTTGGGCACATCACTTCTCTTCCCAAGACCTCAGTTTGCCTATTGTTTCTTGCAAATGTATCGGCCTAATATCATGGAAGCCATGAGGCTTCCTCGAGCTATCGGCTGACACCCAACCCCACCCCTGCCAGATTCTTCTGAGGTCTGTTTTCTCCCCATGGAGCACCTCAAGTGAGAATCACAGATTCATCCAATCTTGGAGTTGTGAGGGACCTAAAAGATGACCTAATCCATCCTCCACCCCGACCAATGGCAAGAGCCTGCACAATCTCCCTGCCAAGGGGTCACTGGGCCCATTTCCTCTCCTCCAGGGGCAGGGACTCATTACTGTTAAGGCAGCCCATCTCTGTTCGGTGACTCATGTCTACATTGGGTAGTATTTAGATCAGCCTTTCCAATGGTAGCTTCCACAGGACACTGGTCCCTTGGGTAAAAAAGGGTTCCATTCTCATATAAGTTTGGAAAACATTTTTATACTATAGCTGTCTTCCTGGAGCACATTAGTATATTAATGATATGAGAAGTTTTTTAAATTTTTTAAACAATCTGTTTTATTTTGTTTAACTCACATTTTCTAAACTTCTTTGACCACAGAACCTTTTTTTTCATGCCACGTCTATTAACATCCCATGAAATGTACGTTACAGAAACCGTGGTGCCAACACTTACAGAGGGTTTAGCTGCCAGGCTCTCCTGAACCTTGGGTCCCTTCTTCCTCTTTGCTCCTGGTAGACACAGTCAGGCCCATCTGCCTGCCCTTCTCTGATGAGGAGCTCCCTCCAGCCACCCCACTCTGGATCATCGGATGGGGCTTTACGGAAGAGAACGGAGGTAAGTCCCAGGCTCAGGACCACAGGACAAAGTGAGCAGCTCCTGAAAGTGATGGGAAGGAGGACCATCCTTTAGAAAAACCCATCCTGGAGGTCCAAGCACCAAGGTACCAGGCAACCCAGAGAATATCCTGGGCTGGGGGTTGAAGGCAGGAATGGGAATGTGAGTGTGTTTTCAACCTGCAGGGAAGATATCTGACATACTGCTGCAGGCATCTGTCCAGCTCATTGACAGCACTCGGTGCAATGCAGAGGATGCGTACCAGGGGGAGGTCACCGAGAAGATGCTGTGTGCAGGCATCCTGGAGGGCGGAGTGGACACCTGCCAGGTGGGGCCTCCAAGGATCATGAGGGAATTATAGAGATAGGAGATGTCTGCCCTGAAGAAAAAGCTCAGAGGATGAATGCCCCCCATGAAGTCTTGCATATGGTGGGCACTCATTATGTGATGAAGGGAGGAAGGAGGAGAGGGAGGGAAGGACTATAGTCAGATAAAGATATAAAGACAGATGGATGGATGGATGGACAGATAGACAGACAGACAGATAGAGAGAAAGAAGCAGAAAGATTTCAAATGTATATTTCACATGCAAAGATGATGTTACACTCCCCAACC